AATAATGAGAGATATCTCTGAAAACTTTTCTTCTTGAATAAGATCATTGATTTTTTCAGAAAAATTATATCATCCCAACATAATATTCAAGATGAAGTTAGAACTTTATCACTTTCTCGAATTTAGTAAGTATAAGCTTTCTCAAAAGAGTAATCTCAAAAAATCATGCATATCTGAACGAAGCAATCAAAGCATTCACTTGCATTGAAATATATCGATGCGCATATCATTTTGTAATTTGTGTTATTATTTGTGAAAGTAGGCAAAACAATGCAATTAATTGTATTCATGAATTATTCATTCATTGTTGACATCTCATTCACTGCATGCGATTTATACATATCGATTTTATTATTTATTACATAGTTGATGATTGATCTCGATGACCTTAGCCAGAATTAAGTGAGAGTACCTATACAGTGTGTCTCACTTCTGATGGAAGCACCCCTCTATCTTATTTAATTGTTGAGTTATTAGGATTCATCCAAATGACAGGAATAGAAAGTCAACAAATTTCTCAGATGTCATTTCGTTATAGTTTCACTCGGTTTTAGTTGTATTATAGAGAGATGAAAATTGTGTATATCATGAAGAATGGCTGTAAGAATAAGGGGACATCATGGTTACTGATGAGGATTCAGAAATCCGAAATGGTTTCATTGCAATAAAGTCATATAACCTGTGTGTAAGAGATAATATTTCCCATATCACTGATATGAATGATCATTTTTGGAAGTTTTCAATCTCATCAAGATCAAAGTTCATGCCAGTTATACTTCTCCTATACATTCCAATTTTCATTTCAATGCTGAATAATATTGGTAAGTCATTTTTCAATATCATTATCCATCATATTATTCATCCGATTTGAAGAAGAATGTCAATTCTCAATTTCGGAGGATTTTATTCTTTATTTTTCATGTTCTCCTTTTGAATGTTCATCAGATATAATTCAATATTCGACGTGGCATAGGTAGCATATAGCCAGGAAAGTAGTTGTTTCCTATTGAATCAACTGAAAAAGAGTAAATATTCTCATCACATAGGGAATGCGAATTCTCAATGTATTGCTTTATATAAATATATATCCATTTTTGTATGTTCATAATTTATCTGAGAATATTCCTTTTCAACACTGATATGTAGATTCCCATGTTATTTCTACAGCACATCTGAACAGCATTCTTGCGAAGATGCTTCTTCTTACAGAACATATTTTTTCAACTACTGGAGCTATCGAAGGTTCTTGAATTCTCAATTAATTTGATGATTCATTATCCTTTCAAGGCAAAACAATTTGAATCGTACGTCCTTGGTACATCCAATGGACATCCAATCAATATCCATCAGCGTCGTCAACGGTCGTCTTATGAATGTCCTATTGAAATGCTCGATGGAAAATATTGTAAGATTCAAGTATTCGATAGTTTTTCCAGGAAGATCCCTCCAGGACTTTCCCAGTTGGTCCTCATGTGGAAAATCTGTGCGACCCACAGACGTCCAATAGACGTCGGCGGTACCAAATTCGAATGATCTATAGATGTCCTGAATGGTACAACAGGACATTCTCTGGATATCCATTGAACATAAGTATGTTATAAGGGAGGCGTAGATTCAGAGCCGTTGTTGCCCTGTATAAGATCCCCTAATGACAGCCTGAGGATAAAGAGGATAAGGTGTAGTTTTATTTATCCGATTCCACTACCGGAACTACGTCGACGTGTCGTTTTATTTGCAACTTCACCTATTCCGGTTGCTATACATTTCATTCCATCTCACTGATAGAATGACGTGGACTGATTGTTGACAGTTGTCAAAAAATGAGATGAAAAAAATGGACCTTTTTGGAAGTAGAAGACATTTGAAATGAATTTTGATCGAGAGATTCACAAGTTTATTATTTCTTCAAATGGGAAACGATTTATATAATCATTCCCAGATGAAATGAATTCTCTATATCTTAGAGAACTTTCTCTAAGCACCACAAACACGGTTCCAAATATGCATTGATTTATTTCATTCATTTTCCTGATTCCCGAATGGAGTATTATGATATGGAGATAGATAATTGGCAGCTCAAATGTGTAAATATAATCTCGACCATCTATAATATATCGCTGGTTAAGAAGAAGACTGTCACAACTCGAAAAATATGAAAAACCTTTTTTTCATATAAAATGATTGCAAATGAGATATATTTTTATGTGTAAAAGAGTCACACCTTGAATTTGATTCGTCTCTCCTAGATGACGCTGGCGTCAAATGGCACAAGTCGGATTCATATATGTGTTAAATTTTAGGAAAGACCGTTTCAACTAGTATCACGAACAACTTGTTACGGGAAGCGTGTCGTTAATTTTGGGGTAGACCGACAGATTTAGAAGCGTACCTACCTTGAGAGTTTTGTTGAACAGTGTCACAAACTCAATTGAGTCATCTATTCAACAAGCGTAACTTCAACTTAGTCAATTATTTTATGGGAAATACCGTCACAAGTCAAAAGGTGACAGTCTTTCGCAGAGAAAGTACATCCTTCTCCATGTTATTTCTTCAATTGTGCCTATCTTCCCTGAAATATTTCATTAATATTTGTTTTTGTTGGAAAGTTTGAATTTCGATATAGTTGTGTCACTTTTTCACAAAATTATCGATGATTAGAGCTCTACATTTTAATCAAGTAACCCGTTACAAAAAATCTGCTCCTATCTATGCACCCGACCAGTACATAACCATCATCAGGCAAGCGAAAAAGATCCGTACAGAGTTTTGTAGTAACTCATGAAGATATCATGAGTTCAAGGATCTCTCCGAACGTTTAGGTGTAAAAACTGGGTATGAGGATCAAAAACGAGAACCTCTGAATATTTCGGATGTTGAAGTGTTGAAGGTTGAAAAAGCGCATCCTGAATATTTTTCCTACAAAATTTCATACGAGGAAATACAATTCTCAACTCTCATGGTCCTGAATCCTAGAAGGAAATCAAGTAATGCAGTGCCATCATTGAAGAAGGCCTATAATAAACCAGTAGGAATAAGTGATGCTGAAAAAAAAGGGAATAATGGCACTAATCCAAAAAAACTCCGTTCCTAGTTGTTATGGTCAGTTTTACAACAACTTATAAATTTATATCCAGTTGTTAGGGCAGATAGGTACCTATAATGAGTCTCCACATGGAAACTGTTTCATAAACTTACTAGAGCTACTCATAAGGTAATGTTTCGTTTCTGATTCATTTTATGAACAATAGTTGAGGTTATTTTGTTGTTTTCGTATTTCTTTCATAATGTTTTTGTCATGGCAGATACGGTATATTAGCCTCTATAATACAACTACTTCATGCACCTATCCTGATGCTGCATCGGGAAAAGAATTATTTAGTTCAAGCATTTTTTCATGTACCTGTGAAACCAAAGTTAGTTGAGTTTTTCTTGAAAGTAATCATTTTGCTGTTATTAGTAAAAAAGCACTTGAAGAGAATTTTGGTTTTGTTCCATTTGTCCACATCGGCTAACGTCTCCATGTTTTTCAACTGAAAAAATCAAATTTTTGGTGATTCTTCAATAATATAGAGACACATATTATATTTATCACCTATAGATTTTTTGGTCAAAAACGTCACAAAACATTTTTTTTTTTTGGAAAAAATAATCAAAAATGAAATGATGAATATAAATACAGTTTTTCAATGGTGAAAAGAATCTTATGACGCCAAAATCGATATAATACTTACTAAGTCGAATACCTCATTATTGCCTTACAAAATTGAAAAAACCTTTGAACAGCGTTTTCTCAAGAAAATACTCTTTCGACTTGTGACGGTCATCTTCTTAACCAGCGATATGTCGATTCTCCCATGCGAAGAGGTATTCGTGCTATATGGGTTGTGTTTGAACGAGATGCGGATTCTTTCCGAACGGTTTCTATCCACTCAAATAGTCGTAGAATTCCGAAGTGTTAACTTGAATTCATGCCTACGTATCAATTCATCTACTCTTTTGACATCATAACCCTTGACGCCAGCCACTCCATAATCAACACTTCTTTCGACTCCGAATCTTATTTCTCTTCTGCGAGGAAATGAGTAGTGAAAGAATGAATCTTTCCATGTTCTTTTGAATACAGTGACACAGGTCATTAGTTATGTATCTAAGTGTGATAGTTTATTTTCTATAAACATTATACTCGAAGTTGTTTTTGCTATGTTTGATCACTTGAACATCTAAGAATGGCATCGGACCGTTATTCTCGTAATCAAAATTGAATTTGATATACGGAAAGAAATCGCTCTGATTTGAAATGAATTCATGTACATCTGCAGCTTCCGTTCGAAATCATCAAAGATATCGTCGACATTTCTAATCCAAATCATAGGGAAATACTCTTTGAGTTTTGCTCTCGCTTCAAATCAATTCATGACCAGTTCAGCCTTCCACGCTAATCTCATTCCTTTTCTATACAGAAAATGCGATAATAAGTTAAACTTGAGTGAAATAATTATCCGGTAGTTGGATAATAATAAATAATCATGAAGAATCCACACACATTTCAGGTTCATGGGAGGTCTCTACTTTTACTCTATAACGAATCTATCATGTCGTCAAGAAGAAACTTTGGAACCAAATGAATTCTATGTAATGTGGCCTCTTCCGTGCGCTCCAAGAGATGGAAAAAACAGTCGATAGCCAGAAGCAGACAAAACTTTGTTGTCTCCAGTTATCACCAACTGCATCCCCTGAAGCTTGACCTGATTCAGCAAAACCATCCAGCAGCAAGAAGTACCTGTTTGAAGTTATCACCGCTTGGAGAAATATTTGAAACAATATTGACATTATCTCAAAATTGGTTGAGAGTTAGATTCTGCCTATATGACGAAAACGGTAAGAGATATCGAAGAGCGGTTTGCACCAATCGATGTTTTTCAGAAATCAAGTTCTAGTCCCATAGGTCGGTTTTTCTTTATCAGTCCTGAATATAGAAAAAATTCACAAAATCAAGCATTTTGGGACACGAAAGTGCTGTGACAAAAAAAATGTTTTTTATTATTCGTATAGACGAATGAAAATACATATCAACGTGATAATTTAACAATTTTTAATGTATTTCAAAAAATAATTCTATTCAAATGTGTGTTCCATTTCAAACTATCAAAGGCACGCATTTACATAAATACTGTTGATGAATCACCCATGTTCAGCGGTTAAACCTATCACTCCTTGCTCACAACCATCACAGAAATGCTGAAGCATGAGAGTCTCAGAGTATCATCCGTTCAAAATATGAAATAAGAATTCCATTGGAATGCATAATGATGGCACATGATACCTGAATCAATTAATGTCGACTAAAAGTCAGATATCTCGTAGCACCTCACTTGTACTGAAGAGTATATACCTGAGAATTGCCTCTCTGAAAACTAAATTTTACTTTCGGTACTTTCTTTTGCTTGTTCGGTTTTTTCTGCAACAGCACCAACAGATATCGTGTCTGACCTTATGCTATTACTCCTAATTGGAAATGGAATCCCTTTCAGAATGAACTGAATCTCTTCCAGGGTTTTCCCCTTCGTTTCAGGAATGTAAACTTGTACGAATATGGCTGTGAGTAGACAAGAAGCTGCGAATAAATAGAATGGGACATCGTATCCAACATTCTCTGATAACCTCTGGTAAATTTCCACCGATATCCAGCCAAATAGAAGATAACAGAAGTCAGCGATTGTCATTCCCATCGCTTTGACTTTGGCTGGAAACAGCTCAGCTGTCATGACAATCGGTATGATACCCAAGCCGAATTTGAAAACTGCGGCATAAACCATAACCGAAACCACTGGTATCCAAGAAATACTCTCTACATTGAAACCTCGTGCTTTGAGAGTGAAGAAAATGGCCAAAACGAGAAGAGAGACTCCCGTAAGCAAGCTGGAAATGGTGAGCAGCGATTTACGTCCAAACTTGTCCACTACAAAATCAGCAATGGTCGCCGATATCAGCATCAAGGCCGCAAAAATAATGCCTGCTACTTCAGAGCTGAGGTATACCGAATCAGCTGCCAAAAGGATCTGATGTAGGTTCATCAGCATCACGCTGATGCTGCTGAAGTGCTGGGCACCATTTAGTACAAACATAATGAGAATAGCTTTCCGGTTGCTCTTGGATAGTACCAGATCCTGTGGTCTTCCCTTTTCGCTTATCTGCCGCTTAACAGCTGCCGAGATCTCTGACAGCTCCTTGTCTACATTGTCAGTGCCCCTGAGTCTCTTCAAATGCTTCTTCGCCTTTTCGTCTTCCCCTCTAGAGATGAGATAGTAAGGTGAATCTGGCACAAAAGGAAATGTAATTAATTGTACGCTAACAATTATCCCGCCTATGATAGAAGGAACGTAGAAGGGTACATATGGAGCTACTGCGTAGATAACGAGTATGCCAACAAGCATCATGACGTAGATAATGCCTGCAAGGAATCCTCTGATGTTCTTGTCTGCTATTTCAGCGATGTACATAGGAGCTGCTACGAAGGCTACGTCTCCAGACAGCCCTACAGCGAATCTAGCAACGTAGAGGTAGATGACGTCATCGGCAAAAGCTATGAGGATCCAGGCCAGCAGAGCGATGGAAGCTGATAGGAGGATGGATCCCTTGCGGCCGATTCTGTCGACGGCGAAGATGGTGAGGGGTAGGCCGGCTAGACCGCCGATCATGTACACCGATTCCAGCCATAGGTGGTCGGAGGATGAAAGGTGGATGGGAGTGCCTGGCCTATCTAGGATTTGGAGGACTGGAGCTGTCCAGCCGTAGTGCATGCCATCTGAGATGGCTCCGATTGTACCTATAATCAAAAATAATGTGTCACTACTCATTGTTTCTGCTTGCAGGACTTCACACAATTTCACCACATATTCCTCAGACCAAAACAATTCGATAAAAGTGAAGTTAGCTCTGCACAAAGTAGTTGCTTAGTTTGGGTGCTAGACGGCTCTGAAGTTACAATTTCCAAATTGTATTTGCTCCATAACTTTGAAACGGCTCATGAGATTTGACACAAATTTGGTATGTTGGCATAGCTTCATTGGGCAATGAAACCCATATCATGATCATGATAAAAATTGTTCCATGGGCGTAGAACTGAATTTTTTCAAGTAATAAACATTTAAAACTCCTACGCCAATGGAGAGATAGGGGTTTCAATATAAAGTTTGTATTGCGTAATTCATTCACTACAAAGAGATCAACTGATAAAATTCGACTAACCTTATGGTTTCCAAACAATTCTAATTTCAGTAATTCAAAGCATCAGTTAACATTGAAATGATCAACAGGATATGTAATAAAATTTGATTGAAATATTCAATATTTCCACGGATACAATGATTCATACTGCGAAAAGAATTGATTCAAGCAGGTACATCTCAGTACAGTCTGGGCGCTAGAAGGCTATGACTATGACTCAGTACAAAAAAAAAATAGCTCATAGCACACTTCAATAAACAGAATATAAATTTAAATCTCAGAATTAAAAATGAATCTTTGAAACGAACTAATGAGAAAAAGTATCTTGTGATTTGGTTTGATGATAAATTGAAGTGGGACAAACATATAAATGTTTTGAAGAAAAAAATATCTCCTATTATTGGAGCCCTGAGAAGATGTCCCAAGCTGAATAAAGAAGTTGCAAATATAATTCTATATTCTCATATACTCAGTCGTATTAACTATTTGATAAATGTTTGGGGACACTGTTCAAAAAACAATTTTAATAAAATATCTGCATTATATAAAAAGACATTGGAAGTACTGTATCGTTTATCATATGATACACCAACAAATCAATTATATAAAATAACTGAATCATTCTCATGAGAAGAAATGTTCAAAATCGAAAGACTGAAAATTACATACAATATCATAAATAAAAGATTGAAATCTAATTTTATTTTAACACGAAACAATGGAATTCATAATTATCAAACTAGACAACATGATTTATTTCATCTTGATATCGCTAATACTTCTATAGGCCAAAAAAGATTCACCCACGCTGCTCTCTTGGAATATAAGAAATTACCAGATAATATAAAAAATTGCAGAAATACAATAAAATTCAAATACCATCTTGAAAAATTTATCATTTCTGAACGAAATAGATGACTTTTTTTTTTTCAACTTCTGATTCATATTCAAATTGATTTTTGCTCACCAATATGAAATGATTTGTCAAAATTTGATAATTAATGTTTTCAAATATTTTATTATTCATCAGTTTATTATAATTGTATAGTTTTAGGTATTATTGTTAACTATACTTCCTTATACCAGAACTTGATTCTGACTGGAAGTAACATTTTCAATAAATAAATAAATAAATAAAATTTCTCTTGTCGCATATAAATGTTTGTCAAGTGGAAACGATGAAACCTTCCAGCAATTTTTGAGAAATATCTGTTGGTCGTTTCAATGTTCGAATTATTACTAAAATTCATTTTTTTTTTCGAAACCATGAGGGTTATCGAATTTCATCAAGAGTACATTTTGTGAGAATTGAACGTCACGCAATCCGAATTTCATATTCGAACCACTTTCTTTCTATTGGCGTAGGAGTTTTAAATGTTTATTTGCTGAAAAATCCATTTCTACGCCCATGGAATGATATTCATGAATGTCAGAATATGAGTTTGAATGCTCAATGGAAATATGCCGATGTTTCAAATTTGAGTAGAATATCATGAGCCGTTTCGAAGTTATGAAGCAAGACCGATTTGAAAATTGTATAACTTCAAAGCCGTCTGGCGCACAACATAAGCAACTTCGTTCTGAGGTGAGTTCACTCGGATCGAATTGTTTTCGTCTGAGGAGTACGTGATAAGTTATTGTAAAGACCTTTAATGAACAACCTGTATAATTCAGAAATGTCCTAACACGCAGATAAATCAGGCAGAGTAAGTTACCACCCTTTCGGAAAAGCAACGTCACAAAAGTCATAACTCTGAAGAGGATAACCTTGGTTTTTTTCAAATTTTTTTCTTTCTTTAGCGTACGGATATGTAGGTACACCACGTTAAATGATCGATTTATCACGGATTGATGATCTGTGATTTATTCAAAGAATTGAACACGTTACCATGGCAGAAATAGTTATTAATGGTACTAGTGTGTAATGCTAACAATAAGTCACGCGAGAAATATTTATACCACGAGGCCGTTAGGCCAAGTGGTATAAATTCTCAAGTGACTTAGGAAACATAACACGAGAGTGGCCTACAATGTTTTATCCAACAAGTGGAAGAAATCGATTTTTATGAGATGATGATTGATAAGTTTTGTGATCAAATCAAAACTACCTGCGTCTCAGTACCCTATACATGTCAGAATTACTTGACAGTGACTTTTTTATATTTTGATTGAAGTAGGAATTGTTTGTAAGGTTGCCACGGCTTGATACATTGTTAGCAAATGTTCAAATATATTATGACACATGTCAGTTTTCCCTGCAGAAAGAAGACTCTTTTTTGCAGAAAAAAAAAGTATAGAAAATGGAGGAAACCGATGAAAATTACGTTCCTGAGGAGATCCTTACGGAAGCGGAAGAAGCAGCGATGCAGATTTTGCCAGAAAAGTTCCGAGATGCTAACGACATGGAGTTCAGATTATTTGAATTTTGGATGAATTCACGGAAGATATAAGGTATCGATGAAAACGTTCTGTTGGCTTATTTTTCACATTTGCGAACAAAATTAGCTCCATCGTCGTTATGGACCAAATACTCGATAATTCGCTCGCGACTATTCAACTTTATAAAACAATATAGACTGTTGGCCCGCGACACAGAGTTTATCGATGTTCTAAGTCTGTATGTCATTTAAGGCACCCACTCACTCAGTCCGAGTTAACAATAAGAAGTGCCTCGGAGAGTCGCAACCCAGTCCTTGCCCCGGCCCTGACCTCACCTTTCGGTTGGAACAAAAATCAAAATTTTGTTTAAGAAGAAGCTCGGCAATGAAGTGCAATGATCTTATTTCACGAAAATTGGGGCGCTTGCCGGTTTGCATACGCCTAGGTCACTCCCCAAGGGCGGCATACGAACCGGAAGAGGGAAATTTTCAGTGTCATAGTCGATGATCGAAGAATATATGCCCTTTGGCAAAACAATGAATTCGGACCCATTAATCAGTTTTCCGACATTTGCATACGATTCCGGAGAGGGGAGCTCGACTAATTAGTGGCGGCTCCTCAGAGGAGGCAACGGAGGCTGAGCCTCCTCAGAGATTTTCCTTGAACTGATATTATCTATACTTTCTCATTAAGAGGACACCAAAATACATGGATACATTTTATTTCCTGTTTTTAGGTAAATATTTTTGAATTGGCAATAGTGCTTGCCCACGCATCACACGGCGAAGTCTGCAAATCACGCGTAAAATATTCAACTTATCAACATCAATAGGAGGCTAGACTCCTTCACAATGCGCATGCGCAACCCACTCGCGCAATGCAAAGGCCCGAATACGCCCGAATAGCACGTGTTTGTCGTGTCGCGTCGCGAATTGCGGGCATTATTTATGTTTATGTTGGGTTAATAGTTAGGGGCTCTATAAATTTCTGAAAAATGAGTGTTTCAAACGATTGCGACTTAGTGGAATACTTTTTGGTGAACCCATTCAGTGCTTTGTCTTATGGAGATAAATTGATTGTGAAAAACAAACGTTTGACACCGGAATTAAAAAATCTGATTGTAACAGGTAACAAACAAAATCGTTCGTTCAATTCTGATAATTATAAAAAATGTATCTGGCTGACGAGATCTTGGGTAAGGAATAAGCTATTTTGTTGGTACTGCGTATTATTTTCAGCCGATAAGTCATCATGTTGGGGGCGATTAGGATATAATGATTTGAAAAATTTGGCTCGCGGATTGGATAGACACTGCGAATCACAGGAACACATCTCTTCAAGTATTAAGTTTAGGTTAACTGATAAACAGAATGTCATTGAAGCTATTGATTTGGGTGAGTAGAGAGGTGTTTTTCACAATAAATCTCATATCATTCAGCCTCCTCTGTCATGAAAGTCACGAGCCGCCACTGCGACTTATTCGAACATCATTTTACTGAATATCCTTCAAATAATCGATAATCGAAGAAATGTTCAAATTTTGACCATGGTTTGTGGACCACACAGTATATATGAGATGATGGTTTGCATACAATTTGCACATTCCGTACATGGTGTTTCACCATAAATATCTCCCATTGTAACTTAGTTGTTTCTGAACCGATTTTAAAATTTCAAAAATCAATTAAAATGATTCTCCTAAGAGATTTTTCATTGTTATCAAAAAATCCACAGGCTGTTCATAACAAATGAACTATGGGGTAGTTGTTGATTTTTTTACTGAAACACTATATTTTATCTCACTATCAAGTTGAGATTATCATGACGAATACAGCTCTACAGCATCTAGCGATATCATTTACACGCAGCACTCTTATAGCGATCATGCGCCAAATTGTTAAATTATGCCAGAAATATGAATCCCGGGTTTGAAGTATTCCTTTTTTTTTGCTGAAACAATTATCATATCTGAACAATGATTTGCTGCGGCAGCCGGGTAGAGTGTAGCACGTAATGATTTAGTAGGTATTCAATAATGTTGTTTCCTTTTGTCGGAGATTCGAAATTTAAATATCATCATCAAATCATTTACTTTTGTATAATGTATATTACAGATTTATTCACTTCTTACTGCCTCCACTACCAGTGGTATGAATCGGATTACCAGTAACCCTGTATATAAGTGAAGCGTGTGAATCTTATCGCTAAACGCCAGTCAAC